GTATGTATGTATGTATGTATGTATGTATGTATGTATGTATGTATGTATGTATGTATGTATGTATGTATGTATGTGTGTGTGTGTGCGTGCGTGCGTGCGTGCGTGCGTGCGTGCGTGCGTTGTATGTATGTATGTATGTATGTATGTATGTATGTATGTATGTATGTATGTATGTATGTATGTATGTATGTATGTATGTATGTATGTATGTATGTATGTATGTATGTATGTATGTATGTATGTATGTATGTGTGTGTGTGTGTGTGTGTGTGTATGTATGTATGTATGTATGTATGTATGTATGTATGTATGTATGTATGTATGCATATATATATATATATATATATATATATATATATATATATATTTATATATATATATATATATATATATATATATATATATATATATATATATTGTGACGGGGGTCTGGCATAGTAAAATAAGAAAATAGGAATCATCGGATCAGATTTGTTTTGGTTCAAGTATACCGAGATTAATTTGTCATGGACGTAGCTTTCAGACTGGTCTCTTTTTTCCCCAATGTTCCTTTTCCAGACAAGTATTTGCTTCAGACATCCTCAAGACTGGTATTATACATCCGAATCGCATTGATTGTTTTAATAAGCATATCATTCCATTGTGGCGGTACTTCAATTCATTCCATATTATTTTCTTAGAGTTTCGTTAGATGTCGTTTGGTCTGGAATCATGTCTATAGAAGAAAGGAAAGAAATAGTATTTAAGAAAACGCAAAATGGCGCCCACGGCTGGCGTGGGCAATAACTTTGAAATAATATGCATTATATAGCCATTAAGATGAACAGACAGCTTACTTTTAATCATACATATACAAACGCTCAAACCATTTACTCTACGTCATATATTTCCGTTCACTAAATCTTAAAAGTATATTATAGTTTTTCTTTATACAGGAGATTTCATCCATATTTTGATAGAGAGTATTTCAAGTAATATAGCCTTATATTTTACAGAATTATCCTGTTCTTTCCACGACTTACAAGTGATATGGATTGCAAAGGTACACTACACTGACTTCAAGTACAAAGCTCCTTATTCATATTACAGGGCAATAGGGTGGGGATGGTGTATGATTATCACTGCCAATAACAGTGATAGATTTAAATTTGTTTTGAGTTTAATACCGGCTGATTAATTATTGGTAAGAAGAAATAAGGCACTTTTTCCTTAGTAAGCCAGCTGCTTGCTGTATATTTGTCTTAAACATCCTTGTTCTGGCTTTCTTCCTCTTTTCCGAATGAAGTATGGAACATTGGACCCTTTATAATTATTCGTAAATATGTTGTATTTTCGACTAAGCCGCAGATCAGGTTTGTACTTGATACATAATTCATTGCAATATCTACAATATTATATTCCAATGAATCATTTCGTAAGAAAGCAGATTGCATTTTAAGTCCAGACAGATGATTTACATTTATGCAAACTATTGCTGATTACACCAACGTTATTAAACTTGCGTATCAGCATACTCAGCTGAAATTCAGCGTACTCAGCTGAACTGTTTCAGCGTACACAGCTGAAATGTCTTAACCCAAGACTAACGCATTTTGTGTTTTCTTATTTTTGGTGTTTTCCATATTCCAGTATTACGCATATTCCAGTATTATGCATATTCCAGTATTATGCATATTCCAGTATTACGCATATTCCAGTATTATGCATATTTCAGTATATGCATATTCCAGTATTATGCATATTTCAGTATATGCATATTCCAGTATTATCTATCTTCCGGTATATTCATATTCCAGTATTATGCATATTCCAGTATATGCATATTCCAGTATTACGCATATTCCAGTATTATGCATATACCAGTATATGCATATTCCAGTATTATGCATATTCCAGTATATGCATATTCCAGTATTACGCATATTCCAGTATTATGCATATTTCAGTATATGCATATTCCAGTATTACGCATATTCCAGTATTATGCATATTTCAGTATATGCATATTCCAGTATTATGCATCTTCCGGTATATTCATATTCCAGTATTATGCATATTCCAGTATATTCATATTCCAGTATTACCCATATTCCAGTATATTCATATTCCAGTATTACCCATATTCCAGTATTACCCATATTCCAGTATTACGCTTATTCCTGTATTACGCATATTCCAGTATATGTAAGCCAATCTATCTTCATGACAATTCTTAGTTTTGGCAACAATCGATGAGAATTTCGCATATTTGTAGATCCCATGAGTAATCAAGATTTTACGTATCTTCTTTGTCAACCAATTCCATGTCCCAATGGTTGAATGCGGCTTAGCTCTGATCTTTAAATCACTGTGAAAATTTAATTTTGATGAAACTTAATGTGATTACGGCTAATCATGTACAATGGCAATAATGTCAAATGACTGCTTTTGTTGAGTCGTTTAGTTCATATATCCTATATGAACCTAACGTGGCTTTATAAATGGAGACCACGTTGTAACGAAATAGTTTTATATTTTGAAGTAAAGCATCTGAGGGCGATTTAACATTAGCAAGCATACTTTGATAAGCTTTCAATTTGCCCCCATACTTTGATGAGCTTTCAACTTGCCCCACACTTTAATAAGCTTTCAACTTGCCCCCATACTTTGATGAGCTTTCAACTTGCCCCCATACCTTGATAAGCTTTCAACTTGCCTCATACTTTGATGAGCTTTCAACTTGCACCCATACTTTGATAAGTTTTCAACTTGCCCCCATACTGTGATAAGCTATCAACTTTTCCCCATACTTTTATAAGCTTTCAACTTGCCTCTATACTTAGATAAGCTTTCAACTTGCCCCCATACTTTGATAAGCTTTCATCTTGCCCCATAATTTGATAAGCTTTCAACTTGCCCCCATACTTTGATGAGCTTTCATCTTGACCCCATACTTTGATGAGCTTTCAACGCAGATTATTTTCAATTTCTTCCATTCGCTTTACCGACGTATCGTTTCTAAATAATATGTGGAGTCAAACACCCATTCATCAAACGTAAGATTACAACATGTTTTTAACTAGGAACAAAGCTAGATGACATCGCCAATTCATACTCTTGTTTACGATACGATCAAGTATAAGAGAAATTGCAATATAGCGGCAACCCAAACGGGCCTATCACTCGTATCTATATACATTCTGAAAAAGGGATTACAATTGCAACATGGCTGCGCAATTTTAAGATTATCCATATCTTATGATTTCAATAACAGAACTATGTTAATTATATTGGTGGAAACTTTCAATCCTCTGGTCATGTCCTAGTTTTTATTGAATTGACCTTCTATCGGATATTCTTCTTCACCAACGTACACTTTATTCCTTTGTAATCCTGCATTGTTGCACCCTTTTGCATCGAACAAATTAAAAAAAAAGTTAAAGAGAACGGCTCAAACTTTTTCAGCTCTGTCTTTGTATTGTGCTATATATTAATCGCAATTGGACACTGCTATCCAGAGCGCTGTGCTACAAGGCTTACAGGTATTAACCAAATTAAATAACATCATCGCTTAGGGTCTAAGCATATTAGAAATCTACTATATCTTAATCTCGAATTACAGCATAATTGACGCAACTTGTATTTATAATTTGATTTGCCGCCTTGGAATAGGTTTCATACGAGACATTTTCTCGTTAAGCGCTTTCAGCAGATCATCACCATATGTAGTTGATCTAATTCATTCCATATCTAATTAATTTTCCTCCCGAGCGCATGTAATTATTCCTTAACTTTTCTCTACATGTGTCTTATATAATTATTACTGGTGAAAAGAATATTTTGATTAACCTAATTCATTCACATGAACTAACTGGCACAATGGATGTGTACTGCTAATGTACAATACATCTAAATGAGAGTTTATAATCGTTACTTGCCAATAAAGTTGATCATGGGTTATCTAAAATAAGTTGATTAAATCATGCGCATCATTATATTTTTACAATACTTTTAAATTAACTGCGATATGTTGCCTACATAAAAGTTAAATTGGGAATAATAATTAATAATGATCTTTTCAATGGAAGAATGGGATTAGGTTCAATGACCAATATCAATTGGATCACCTTTCGAGTACAATGTTAAATCTTGGGACGTAGTTGGGATCAAATGCTCTCGAGAAGTGATAGGATAATTTAAATTCTACTGAATATTATTATTTTTAAATCGATACATTATGTACCTCCATGAAAAATAATATTGTGTTCAGCAACCAAATAAAGCCTATCGTTAGATGATGTATGCATGTACAAAAAAAGCCTGTAAATCATGGTCTAACATATTTTGGATTTGACGGTTGCCACCTTTTATGTAGCTTGTAGTTTGGTTCTGTCCAGGGGAATGTTATTTTGTGTTGGTAAATCAAGCTAGAGCTGGCGAAGTCGTAATGCTGTACATAAAAAAGATTATCTACGAATTAGTTTTCTGCTTGGCTGAAACGTCATGATTACTGAAAATCTGCCAAGGGTTGACAACAATCTTTATGTTACAACATAACAAAACATTCATTTGATTCAGGAGGACCTTATTAAAAAACGTTATAAAGATATATATCCAACGTTGATAAAACAATGACCTAATTCAAATATAAATATAGCATTTAGTTCAACTCATCCCCATTCTTGATAGTACTAATTTGTACTGGTAGGAGGAGCTCAACATCGTCTTTAACAGCAAAGTATCACTTACTGGATGGGCCAAATTATTTTGTAGTTTTAAACTGTATGTGTATAGATCAGCGTCATTCCAGTTATAATCTGCATTTAGAACCTCCGTTTTAATAGTGATGCACAGGGTTTCTGACAAGAACATCCAATTTCACTCTTCCAACACGCTCTCATTTCACCCATGGAGAGATTCGAACACACCGATATGCTGTTCCACACTGTGCCGATTATGTTTTCTGTCTAGATATCTTTGAAAAATATTTTCTTAAAGAAACAGAATGCTTTCACCTATTTGACCGCTCTGTTGGCCTAGTGGTTAGAGCTTCTGCGTTGGATGCGGGAAGTCTTGGGTTTGATCCCCGGCCGAGTCATACCAAAGACTTGCAAAAATGGTGCTAACAGCTGCCTCGCTTGGCGCTCAGCATTAGAGGATAGTATTAGGAATGGTAGTTTGGTGTCAGGATAATGTGACAGGATCGGACATCATGCTACATGTCTGCGGCAAGATGTTCCAGTGCTAGACTTCACTATAAACTGCCACACAGCAGATACGATAGCCATATGACTGAAAAAATGTTAAAGCTATGTTAAAAATCTAACCACACACACAAACACACACACACACATTTCAACATCATATCACCAAAATATCATCTTTTCATACCGTTTTTTTCGGGTAGGTAATTAGCATGATCCTAACTTGTTACCCATTTGAGTAGTCTTTATATTTTGTACAAAGCTTTATCTTACTGCTGATGAAACGACCTTTGAAGCTCGTTTGGTACTTGCACTGATATACACAAGCACTGATTTTGTACTGCCAGTTCAGAATCTATGGCACATATGGGTGTTTAGTTAGTTAAATATGCACACCAGAGCCAGTAAAAAGGTAAAAATTACCTGGCTACGAACATTAGGCTTTAGTTGGCGACTTCAGATTCAGACCACAGGATTTTCACCATGAAGAAAAAGTAAGACCTCAAAAAGAGAAATAAGATTGCATATCCTTGAACGAAAATGTTTTGATCAGATGATAAGCCTGCCATATTGCTAACTTTTGGCTTAGATGTACATAGAAAAATGTGGGATAGGGTGTGTGTGTTTGTGTAATACCCAGGTCAGAATATATAATTAATTGTTATTAGACTTGAAACAGCAGTTGTAGATTAAGTTGTCTTCTTCTTCTTCTTCTTCTTCTTCTTCTTCTTCTTCTTCTTCTTCTTCTTCTTCTTCTTCTTCTTCTTCTTCTTCTTCTTCTTCTTCTTCTTCTTCTTCTTTGTCTTAACATCCATACAGGTGACGTGTAAAATTTAATTAATCAAAAATGCGTGAGCTTCTATAATAAATCGCATAATAAGAAAAAGGAAACGATATTGTAATCAATACAATAATATTCGCTTGCGTGGGTGCTGGCATATTAAAGCTTTATTTATTTGTCTATCCAAGTAAGAAAAGGTAACATTTTATTAACTTCTCATTTTATATATTTTTTATTACTTTACTAATATTTGAAATATTTATCCAAATATTTCACACTCGCGAGTCTGTCTGCTACGCACGAGCTTATATAGCAACGATTCAGTGCCATCATTTTTTGGTGATGTGTGCTTAGTCGTGACGGTATATGGGTTGGTGCATGCAGGCAAGGCGAAGGGTGTCATTTACTCGCGGACCTGGGTTCGAAACTCGGTAGAGTACGAATATAATTTCTCAAACCTGTATGATAGTATGATAGTATTGTTTGTATTAAATTGTTATTTCTGCCCACTATTATCAAGATTCTACTATAGAATCCAGGGATAGCACAGTCTGTTGTGTCTGGTATATATATATATATATATATATATATATATATATATATATATATATATATATATATATATATATATATATATATATACATACACACACACACACACCTAACATTTTCTCGGCACGATATAGCCATTAAGCCATTAATGTGCTACATATGCCGTTAGAACACGATATAGCCAATATTGTGCTAATATGTTATTATAACACCATATAGCCATTATTGTGCTAAATATGCCATTAGAACACGATATAGCCAAAAATATGCTAAAGATGCTATTAGAACACGATATAACCATTATTGTGATAATATTTTATTGGAACACGATATAGCCACTATTGTGCTAAATATGTCATTAGAACACGATATAACCATTATTGTGCTAAATATGCCATTAAAACACGATAAAACCATATTTTGTGCTGAATATACCATTTGAACAAAAAAGAGCAAAGTAATTTATTTTCATTTGAAAGACATCTTCACGTCATATCAAGCACACACTAATATTCTCGATATAAATTTTCATTCGCTTTCGTATCCCGTCGTCTTCAGAGAGTTAATGGATTCATGTCTTGCTCGGATAGTATTCATTTATTGTAAATGCAAGACTCATAACATCCCATCTATATGTCTAGTTATTACTATGCAGCGAGAATAGCTTTGATTTTATTACAGCCAACATTGTTCGTTATAGCTTAATGTTTTGCAAAAATCTATATATAGACATTGCTTTCACTCGTTCTTAGTAGGAAAGTAAAGACTTGAATGTTTCAACGATATAATAATTTTCTTTTATAAACGTTTCAAGCACGTATATTTATTTAATGGGCTTTTGTCAAGGTGTTCTCCTTAATAGCAGTGTGCGATACTTTCATAATTCTACATTTAACCATAGTGTGCTGGCAATGTATAGACAATATGTTCCTTTTTATGCTTACCAGTGATCTAAGTGGTTAGAGCGTCTGCCTCGGATGACGGAAGTCACGGGTTAGACCCACGGCTAAGTCATACCAAATACTTATAAAAAAATGGTACTAGCCGCTGCCTCGCTAGGCACTCAGCGTTAAGAGGTTACTGATAGACTTGGTGACAGTATAATATGACTGGGTGGGACATGATGATACATGTCTGCGAAATGATGTCCCAGTTCTAGATATTGCCACTCTGCAGACATGATAGCAATAGGAATGAAAAAGGTTATAAGCTACTTTAAAAATCCAAAGGACACTCACTCAGCCACGTTAAACTAATAATGATTCGTAACTCCCCTTAGTCGTGTAAATAAAATACTAGCTCCAAAATATGCTCATTGAACACCATTTGAGGCGGAAAAGAGAAAACAACATTCCTAACGTGTAGAGGATTTTATAGTATTGAGTAAACAAGCAGGATGGTGACCCCGTAGCACATTATTGGTACATAACTGCAATGGCATAATTTGGTAAAGGTAAATATTTCCATTAGTCAGAATGTTATCACGTGACCAATATGAATTGCGTTTAATTCTGTATAAACTCTGAGGACGGTGACCCCTTAGCGAATTATCTGTACCTAATTTAGTGATATAAGTAAACATTCGTAAAAGTCATTTGCTTATGGATATTGAAACTGATTCTAATTTTTATCATTTAAACATGTGTTCGCGACCCAGATCTAGAACACGTAAATAATATTGCATCTCATCAGATAAATAGTGAGGGGGTTCAGTATGTCACCGTAACGCTCATTGGAATAAATTTTGTCCTTCTCAAGAACATTGAAATATGATGTAACTAATCAATTAAAGTTGTCATATTGTTTGCGTGTACGGTTGTGCTGTTAAACATTTCTTGGTTTCGTCTCAGTGCAGTATAGTAGTCACCATGCCACGATGATGAAATTCACTTGATGTGATTGTATCGATTGATATATTCCAATTCTGCAAAAGGTTTCACTGTACACCTGAGACATTTAAATCATTTATGTCGTAAGTTGCTGTTTCCAAGAGAATGTGAGAATGTTTTTTTTTCTTATTTAAACATTGTCGTCCGTCGAATTAATCAAAATAAAGTCTGAAATTGTATGGCTATGGCTGCTAAACTGAGAATACAATGACAAAAGGCTTTAAGTTGCAACATAGCGTTGGCATAGCATTGCTTTCGTTAGTAATGCTACAAATGGGACAAAATATACCACTTATTGAAGCACGTCTGTGTAAGCTGGCAAATCGATCTAGAAAATGAAACACTTGACTAGCGATGTGAGGAAAATTGTTTGGAGATCATATCAGAGTTATCTCTGTGTATTTAGTGTTAACGGTTTGCTCAATGCTTTGATATTATTTTGTTTTCAACAGTAAACAAATATTGGTTCTTCCCATTTGAATAATTCAACTAATGGTGCATAAAAATTACATTATTGTTATTTGACGAGTTTATCATACACACTGCACGTATTGTAACCAAACCATATTGCACTCAATCGGGTATTTGTATGCATGATGCAATCTAAGCTGACAATATAAATCTCATAAATAATGGAAACACATTTGCTGATATTTGTTAACATCAATTATATGTGTCATGTAGAGACTTCAGAACTGGTTTGATTTATTTTTTGTTTGTCTTAAATGTCATAATATTTGAAAGGTACAAATACTTAGAAACCTTTAAAAATTGAGTGCTTAATGCATACAAGACAGCATTGCTCTCTAGGAGAAGAACTGGTTTAATATGACATGAATATTTTCCGGCCTGACTGTCTCGTTCTTGACACGAGTTCAGAACAAAACACCTTTGCTGTTTTGTGTATTTAATACTAACGCACTTAATCGCACATGATCCATTTTGCCTTCATGACAGCTGTTTGATTCGTAATTCCTTCTCACAAGCCCATAATGGAAGTAAGGTGTCTTTGTCTGGGGGTTGATATTTTCAGTTAAAATAATTTTTATAACTCCCAGTTTGTTTCAAATTTCATGTCCTACAGTTCAGTTAAAACAAAAAAAGTGGATATGTAAGAAATACAAAAATGAATAGACCATTTCATGGAGACTTCGGCGAACTTCGTAATTTGATCGGAATTTTGATCACGTGGCGAGTGGTCAACTGACCGCAATATCCAATCGATATCTGGTAGGCAAATAGTCTGGTTCCCTGCTTAGTATGCTAACTAGTATAGTATAGCGGAGTGCATCGCAAGGAGCATACTAAGCAGGGGACCAAACTAGTGGTCAAAATAAGGCAAACAATTCAGCATTAGCATCAACTGTTCCAACTACTACAGCTTCTTTTATAGAGTTGAAAAATGCCTATCCAACTGCGATTATGCCACAGATATTGACGAAATTTAATATTGGAACCATCCTGTCTTGTTTTATGGATTTTATAGCCATACGAGAGAGTAGCTATGAGCTATTTTACATCTGGACTTGTACATGCTAGTATGGAAACGGTGTCGATATTAAAAATGTAATCCCTTTTTACCATGACACCGCATTTCATAAATCGAATTTCGTTCACCAATGAAATGAACTTTTCGTATTAATCCGCAGTATAGCAAATAAGGAATATTTTT